TGGCGCTCCGTGCACTACGGCGCGGCCTAGCTGCCATCGAGTCCTATAAAGTCCTTTTTAGTTCTTTGATCTCATACAGTGTATGGGGATTTATTCTGTTAAGTTTGGATTCAGTCAAAGGGCTGTACTTGAGGACCTAGAGGGCCACATGTGGCCTCGAGGTCACAGGTTCCCCACCGCTATCATACACCACTCGAACATTATATATAAATCTGTGACCTATACTTAAATCCCACCCCCATCCCTCATTTTCTCGGGGCACTTTACAGTCAAACTGTGAATTCCCAGAAGGCAGGGAATGAGTAATCTTTCTATCACTGTGACTGCTGCCTGGGTCCTCTCCAGCTGTTAGCACTGGTATACAGAAGTCACTCTCAGTCATACCACACTCCCTGGTCACCAGTGAAAGAAACTGGAGTTTCAGGAGTGGCGTATGTATTTCAGGAAAGAGAACCCTTATCACTTAGCATCACCAGATGCACACATCAAACAGATGTTACCAATAGATCATGAACCGGACTCAGAATCTGATGGGGAAGTTCCGTCTAGGCTGTTTGGGGGTTGTGTTCTCAACATCCTCAGCTGCTCTTGACAGCAAATACTCATTTCTTCAATAGGCTGCCCCATCTAGATATGTCGTAGTCGGGGCAAGGGGTATTCTTCTAAATATCATTATATTTGTGTACATTGACTGCCCCAATAGGATATAAACTCCCTAAGAGCAGACATTTTCTTGCTGTTGTTTTTGTATCTGCAACACTTAGCATAGTGCCTGGCACATATTAGGTACTTAATACTTGCTGACTGACGGATGAGTGGACCCATTCTTTTTCCAATGTGAATGATAAGGCTGATTTGTCACCCAGGTGACTTTGCAGTGTTGCAAATACATAAAGTTTCTTCTATCTCATTCTGTTCCAGTTTTGTTTTCTGTCTCTTTTAATATTTTGGTAAATTTTATTGATGTTTTTCAATTTTGACATCATGTTTCCAGAAATAACTCACCCTACTCCCACCTCTGAACCCTTCTTGTAAATAACACAAGCCGTTAAGCAAAACCAGCCAATTCGGTGACTGTCTCAGAGCACGCCTACTTTATGTACCAACAGACCATAACCTCTCCTCCAAGAGAAGGCTTTTCTCAGAGACCAAGAGTGAATTTTACAATTACTCAGAGTTCATATTCTTTTCTGTGTCCTTACCGCTAACATTTCCTCAGTCATATTTATTGTTCTCCTGATCGTACTTACTTCACTCAGCATTAGCTCATACGAGTCTATTCTTTTCTAAATTCCTTACATCCAACTGTAATGTAATATATATGGATATGCATGTGTGAATGTACACACACACACACACACACACACACGCCATGGTGCATTCAGCCATTTTCCAACCAATGGGGATCCATTTTGCTTCCAGTGAGAATGTAAGCTCCTTAAAGGCAGAGACCGCTTCTGCTTTTGATTTGCCCTCTCAGTGTCTAGCACTGTGCCTAACACATTGTTGGCATTTAATCTGACTTTGACCTCCTTAGGGAACATATGCCAAGATGTAGGATTGCTGTGTCAAAGGGTATGGACAGTTTAGTTGCCTTTCTCACAGAATTCCAAATTATTCCAATGAACTACTTTTAAATTCCAATGAACCACCTTTTAAAGAGAAAGCTTGACATCTGCGGAAAGCTTTAGAAGGAAAGTAATTTTCCATTTATCCTTTTTCTATGTAAATATATATATATTCACAACTTTAATGATTTATATATAATTACATATATAATTATATACATATACTTAGATACAAAATTACATGTTTGTATTATATATAAATTATATGTATATTTATACCCATATTTATGTAATATTACATATGTAATTATATACATAAATTCACATATATTATATTATAGATATAATATAATACATTATATTATATTACAATAATATAATATTATATATTATGTTTAAACTATTTATAAAATTACATATTATATGTATAATTGTACATATATGATTATATACATATATACTTACATATAATTAGATCTAGAGATAGATATAGATCATATATATAGATAGATACACATGGATATATAGATATAGTAGCACTGTTCTAAATGAAAGTGGGGCACCATGTAGTAGGGCAAGAGAACCAGTCTCAGAGCCAGGAAGACCTGAGTTCGATCTTGTCTCTGACACGTGCAGGCTGCGTGACCCTCTCTGGGTATGTTTCTTAACCTCTCAGTGTTCTAGGTAAATATCCATGAGTATCTATGGGACCAAGGAAACTACCAGCCTGTTTTGGTGGAGGGAGTTTGTTCACCTGGTAGGTCGTTAAGTTAGTGAAATCACAGGTCCAGTCTGTATCCCTATTTTTAAAAAAATTACTGACATTCAGAACTTACTGCACAGTAGTGTTTAAATGGGAAGAAGGGGAGAGAAACCCCAACAAAATTCCAGAATTTTCCAGAGAAACCCCAACAAAAATCCGCAATTCACAAAGAAACTGCAGGAAAATGGAGCCCCCCCCATAGGCCTCAGTTTCTTCATTTGTAAAATGGGGTTGATGAGAATGCTTATAGGACATACTGCATTTTATTATGTTCATGAAATGGAATGTTTTATTACACACTAAGAATCAACAAATAAGAGGAATTTGGAGAAAAATAGGAAGATTTGTGTGAATTGATGAAGAATGAAATAAGCAGAACCCAGAGAATGCTGAATATGAAAATTATAGTGATGTAAACAAGAAGGGAAAAAAAACCACTACAAGGCAGCTAATCTACATTAAATGCAATGACCAATCTTGACCCCAGAGAATAGATCCCGAAACAAACTTTCCCACTCTTGGTAAGGATATGAGGGGTTGTCTATGGGTGCAGACAATGTTGCAAATACAGACTCAGTTGGTTTTGCTGAATTGTTTGTTTTTTAATTATTAAAAAAAAACAATAGCTTCTGCCTTGGAGTGGGGGAGCTATATTTAGAAATGATTATGGTATAAACACCAAAAGTCATCAATAAAATTTTAAAGATCAAATAAGCCAGTCAGACTAGATGATCTCTAAGGTTCCAAATCTTATTCTAGCACCAAATTCCTGATTCAGATGGTTCCCAGTACCCGTCTGCTTGTAGGAATTAGATGATGACATTCCCCACCCCCACCACACGCCTACTCAGGCAAACTTTCTAAAGGACCTACAACGTACTAGTAGGTAATTTCATCTCTCTGAGCCTCAGTTTCTGTAAGATGGGAAGATTAGGAAAAAAGATGGCTTTTCACTAGACATACAGTCATAAGACTTAGGGTTGAATACTATGGCTCTGTTGCTGGCTACCTGTGTGGCCTTGACCAAATCAATTCGTCCTTGCTGGGTCTCAGTTTCCTCACATGTAAAATGAAGAGACTGAACTAGATGACCCTGAAGGTCCTTTCTGGCTCTCAATGCTATCATTTTATGACTTACTTAGGGCACCTACCTAGCTAAGTGTCAGGTATAAGACAAGAGCTCACCTGACTTCTAGTGGGCAGCATGAAAGAACTGGGTTTGGGAACCAGTGAGCTATTATGCCACATAACAAAACGAAAAAATAAAATAAAATAAGAAAGATGGCTCCTAAGGTCTTTTTTGAATTCTAAATCCATGGAAATCGATGGCTATCAGTCTCGTCTTTTAGGAATGACAGAAGAGTCATCGATTTTCAGATCCCCTTTGCCCGCTCCTGCTCTTCAGGCCTCTTTCCTCACATCTAACCAAAGCAGTTTTCAACTTTTTCAGAGCACTATTTTGGGGGGCAGCAAATGACCTAGCACCCCTCCCATGCCCACCTTACATTCTTCCCTTACAAATTAATTCATAAATCTCATAATACTTTTTCCTGGCTAAATAATTATTCTGGCTATAATTTTTTAAGTTTAATACTAGACCTTGAACAGCAAAGAAACTAGCAGAATTAGTCTATTATTTTGTGACGAACAACGTAGGAGCAGCCCGTGGGCCAAACTTGGAGTATCCCCTTAGCATGTATTTTTAAGAGCCCCTACTTCTTGGCTTTGAGGTCAGAGCCGATGGACAATTATAAATCTAACCCTTTAAAATTTAAATTCCTACCTGTGGGATGCCCTGAAGACCACCCTCCCTGAGTTCATGATGTCAGATGGGCAGCAGGCTTGGGAGAGCTGAAAGGTCAGAGCCACTCCTTAAAATGGCGGGCCCCTCCCTAATTTGGCGGGCCTTGGTCTCCTTCCAGTCTCAGCCTTCCCTCCACCCACCCCCACCCCCACAACTTGCCCTTAAACCTGCCCCACAAACATTTCTCCAGCTCTGTCTCCTGTTGAAAATAAAGAGATTCAGCTTTGTGTGGGGGCAGTGAGCAGGCTGGTGACAAGTGGCCTTCCAGAGCCTCAGAAAGCAGCCATCTTCACTTCTGCTACTTGCATTTTGGGGATACGTGGCTAAACTTGGGAGCTTTCCTGCTTCCTGATGTTGGATGGGGTCCAGGGATGGGGATAGAGACTTTATCTTCTCTCTACCCCTTGACTTTCCTAAGTAATCTTCACGTGGTTTAGGGTGAAAAAGATACTATAACTATAGACTTCCTGCTGGAAAGTCAGTCCTGAAGACGACAGATGAAGAGCGAGGGCCCGGCTACCAGAACCAAACTACTGTGTGAAAACAGTTATTCAAATTCCTCTCACCACCACCACTGCTGCCACCACCAACTGTCTCCTGACCCATTCTGGGGAAACCAAAGGCAGAGGGGTAAAAAATAAAATTAGCCACCCTCTCCCTCCTCCGGATTGAGCACGATATGAAAACTAAAACCAGCTGAGGCTGCCCAGAAGAACTGCTCATATGCTGCTCCCTAAACTGGATCTCAACTCATAGGAAGAGTTGGGGAGCGGTCAGGGGTGGGGAAAGAAGAAAAGGAATGTTACCAGGAGAGTCCCCAAGGAATTCCCCAGAGCCCAGCCCAGCCCCATCCTTAAAGGGCCTTCTGCCCTGTCCAGGGTAATGGCACAGCGAGAAATCCCCAGGCAAGGAGTGCATCACCTCATCTCCATGGTCTCAAGGCCGAGGGTTCAAGCCAACCAGGTCACCAACAGAAGATTGAACACCCACTCTAGGCAGGCGGGTGGCAAAACTTCAGCTCCCAACAGTTGCACTCTCTGTTTTCAGAATGAAGATGATCTATGAAACGTGACCCAGCTCTTTCTGGTAGTACCCTCCCCTCGGCAGGGCCCTTTTGCTGGAAGAGTCAGGGCTGGAGCTTGACACTCAACAAAGGTCAGAGGATCATAGACCCCGAGCCAGAAGGGACCTCAGAGATCACCTCAGGTTCACAGGCTCCTAGGAAGACTGATGTAGAGCTATAGGAGACCATACTGCAATCAAATGGTGTTGCATTTTTATATTTTAACCAATGGGTTCAAAATTCACTGAAATTCTTAATTTGGGAAAATTTTTAACAGAGAAACTGTCAGTTCATATTTTAAAATATGCACATGTGAACATTTTTACATGTGATATTTAAATAACTTATTTTGCCAACAAAAACTCAATTTTCCTTTTTTGGGGGGCAATTTTTAGGATTCTGAACTTAAACGTCAAAAAAAGAGAGCAACTCTTCACATCCAGAAAAAGAACTATGGAGTCTGAGTGCAGATCAAAGTATGTTATTTGCTCTCTCTCTTTTTTGTTTTTGTTTCATCTTTGTTGTGGTTTCTCCCCTTGGATCTAGTTCTTCTTTACAACATGACTAATGTGATAATAGGTTTAAGATGAATGTATATGTAGAGCCTATATCAGATTGCATGCCGTCTTGGGGTGGGGGGAGGGGAGAGATGGGGAGAAAATTTGAAACTCAAAATCTTATGGAAGTGAATGTTGAAAACTAAAAATTAGTTAATTAATTAATTGATAATGAAAAAGAGAGCATTTCCCCATGATCAGCAGAACATAAAAGCAGATTCTATATGAAACTACAGATCTGTTTGCTTTTTTTCAAAAGGACATAATGAATTCTACATTAGTTTCTAAACTATCCTGTGAATTTGTGCTTCTTTCTGACCTTCTTCCTGCTCTTTTCTGTGCAAACCATCCTTTTATTTCCTTTTCTGCATCTCTCTTGTCAGTCTCTCCCTCTCCCTCCACATTCCCTCCCCCCACCCAAAAAACAACTAAAAGCCAAAAGAAATAATGAAAAAAAAACCCTGGAGCTTTTCCTTTGGAGATTGCTCCTTTCAGGAGGTGATTGGTGGCTACTTTCTATCTTTGCTTCTGCCCTTTCGTACTAATAAATATGAGTTTTTCATTTATGATTTCTTTTTTATTTGTTTCATTTTAAATCATGGTTTTTAGCGAGTACAATGATTATTAAATTCTCTCTCCTTGACCTGTTTTCCTGGTTGGTCAGTTTTTGCTATCAGATTAATAATTCCACACAATTAACCCTGTAAGTCAAGGGTTACACAGGTACCTTACATCATTTTTCAATGTTTGGGGTTTTGTTTTCATCCCTCTTAACGTGTCATGGAGGCATTAGTCTATTTGAATTTTCAGGAGCAATCATTTCTTGGGTAGGGTTTACCATTCTCTCATCTATGCTGCTTATTCTCCTTCCAATTCTTTCTTCCAGAGTTTTGGTTTCATGATTTATCTCCCTACTTCTTAGGTAAGTTGTAGTGGGGATTCCTTTGGGGTGTGTATTGGATTAGAACAGCCCCTGAGGTCCCTTCCAAAACGTAGCTCCTATGGTTCTGTGATGACTGTTATTACCTTGGAAAGTAGCTGAGGAAGGCTTCATAGTAGGAGAGAGAAGAGTAGCAATTCTACCACTCTCTATATTGCCTGCCTGTGGTTACATTATCGGAATTATCTTCAATCTACCAATTCCCTACTGGAATCTTTTCAAAGCATTTCACCTCTTTTTCAAGGGTTACTTTAAGATTAGATAATCCTCACTGTACCTCAAGCAAGACACCCCATCTCCCAACCCTGTATTTTCACTGGCTGTCCCCCATGCCTAGAATGCTTCCCTCCCTCTGTATCTCCTGACATCTTTCTTTCCTTCTTTTTTTTGTGAGGCAGTTGGGGTTAAGTGACTTGCCCAGAGTCACCCAGCTACACCTGGCTTCTTTCAAGTCTCAGCTAAAATCCACCCTTCTACAGGAAGCCTTTTTCCAATCCCTCTTATTGGTCCTTAACTCTTCTGTCAATTACCCCCAATTTGTCCTTTCTATATCTTGTTTACATATAGATATTAGATTGTAAGCTCCTTGAGGGCAAGAACTGGTTTTTCCTTTCTTTGTATCCCCAGAGCTTAGCACAGTGCCTGACACATAGTAGGTGCTTTATAAGTGTTTGTTGCCTTGAATATAATCCATAAATTCACCTAACCAGACACACAACAAAGAAGACACACTGTTAAGAAAATTCTGTACTCTGCATTTTAAGCATAAGCCTCCCAGACACGCAACCTAAAAAGATCCTTTGGATGTGATTCTAATACCATACAATATGCTGAAGGCAAACAAATGAAAGAAGATGTGACCTTCAACCCCTGCACAGTTTGGCACTCCCACTCTTTCCTCAGGATACCTTGAATACCGAGATGTATGGATTATGTAAGAGCATCAGTCAATTTGTTTATTAAATACACATAAAGCTTAAATCTTTTTTAAAGTTTTTAATAGAAATATAAATTTAAATATTTTCTTCCTGCACCTCCAAGGATTATCTTTGCCAATTCCTGGGGTTTGCACATTCCACCCCTTTGGAGACTACCGTTCTACACCACCACCATCAACAAAAACTACAGTAACAACAGCCAGCATTTATAGAGTGTTTTAAGGTTGATAAAACACTTTATAAATACTTTCTCTTCTGGTCCTCAGTAATCCTCAGGGCAGAGGTGGATAGATTTCCAGGGTCACACAGCTAGGAAGTGTTTGAACTTAGGTCTTCCTGACTCCAGGTGAAGGACTCCATCCTCCATGCCGGCTAGTGGCCTACAAAGGCCATATATGACTTGACTTCTAAACCTGTCTACCACACCATAAGGGAAAATGTCCCAGAAATCCCTGTCACAGAAGTACAGAATTGGGAGGAGAAGGTGGCAAGGGGCCTCAGTGACCCTCTAGTCCTAAACATAGCTCCTTAACTACAATGTCCCTGAGAAGAGATCATCAAGCCTTCGACTTCCAGTGAGGGGATGGACGCCATCTTGAGGGAAGCCCATTCCGCCTCATGATAGCTGTAATTGTTAGGAGATTTTTCATCACATGGAGTCAAAATCTGCCTCTCTTCAAGTTTTATCCATTGCTCTTTCTACAGTTCTGACCACTGGGGCCAAGCTGATCAAATATTCCATATGACCTGTAGGCTCTAACAGATGAATTTTTGCCTTGTTTTTCCTGGAACTGAGACACTGCACCATTTCCCGGCTACCTTTAACACCATGCTGCCATGTGGACCTCTCCCCCTTTCCAGCTAGTCTTCCCCTTCTCTTCCCCCTTCACTGTCTTGCTTTCTTCTGTTTGTATCTCCAATGCTTAGCATGGTGTCTGGCACATAGGTAGGGCTTAATAAATGCTCATCCATCCATC